GGCCTTGAACACATGATGTTTTAGTTTCTTCTGCCTCGGTTGGTCTATTCTGTTCTGCTCTTGGATGAATGAGTGTAAGAGATGGAGCAAACCAGGTCTTGACCTTGTGTGTTTCAAAAGGAACTGTGAGAAGATCAATGATGGGTGTCCATGACAGAGACTGCCACGGTTACCACAGCCAAGTAGAATGAGGCACCGGCACAGCACCTGAGAAAATACCTGTGAGATCCAGCTTGGCACTGAATATACTCAGTAAAGGCACCACGACCTATAGGCCAGGGGGTACCTGGGCCAGCCACCATGCCACAGCTGGAAGTAAACGTGCAGGGGCAAACTGTTTAACGGCAAAAAAATTAAGTCTGAGACCACTCTTCCCATGGACTGAGATGTAGAGAAGAGAATGTACCCCTATTCTGAGGTCTTACTTTGGGATCTTACTATGTTTTCAGGAAATATACCTTTGTTAAAGCCAATTACTGTCAATTGGTTAGCTGATATTGAGAAAGCAAATGGTCAACTTGACATTGGGAAGATACTAACAGATACTTGCAATTGATATTAGAGGAGAAGGGGACATAATGGAATGAGGGCTGGTAAACAATAGCATTAGAAGAACCCCACAGCTCCTCACGGGTATCTCTAGAATTCTGAAAGAAGATAGAGAAATAGGGAATTTGACCTACCAACGGTGTTGGGATTGGGAATGAGTAAGCCTACACGGACAGACAGACACACACATGTGTGTATGTGTAACACATGAGTAAATATACATATGTATGTGCCTATACACACGAATATATTTTATATATGTGGATATATATATATATATATATGTGGATATATATATATGTGTGTGTGTGTGTGTGTGTGTTGTGTACGTAAGATACAGAGTGTTAATCCTCGCAGATGATGCAGTACTTGGCCCTAGCTGGTTCTCAGATGGGCTGGAAATAGTTCATTTCCCAACCAAGGTAAAGTGGGACCAGTAGAATCTCCTAGGCCTATGTGTCCTACAAGGAATGTGGGTGGGACCCTATCTCTGGAGGATGGAACAAGGACAGGCCTGTTTTTGTGTAAACCCAAATCTGTCCTTATTAGCCACCTTTTGGGAAAGGGACCCTACCCAGGGATTACAGAGTACATTTTGAAGCTTGATTGGTGTCCTGAAAAGTTCACTTGGGCTCCTTGGCTATACAGATATGTAATCAGCTTTTCATGGGATAACCAATTTTTCTTACATCTGAAAATTATAATTTGATAATCTGACATCACTAAAGTGGCTTGTAATGTTTCTGGACAATAACCAGAGCTTGCCTGTTACATGGGCATTTGGCAAACTTCAATTTGGATGATTTCATCCAAAACAAAATGCTGAGTGATTATTTTTCCTTTATTTTTAGAAATACAGTTGTGCAATTATCTTCTTAATTCTAACCACTTCTAATTGTAGATGTTGCTCTCATAAATGTTTCAAACTTCAGACCTACAGGCAACTCACAGGAAAAAAATAATTTGCCTCTGCTCTGGTAGGTTCCAGTAATATCTCCAATTAGGACTATAGTCTTGGGCTCCAGTTCTCTCTCTCTCTCTTCCTCCCTCCTCTCTCTCTCTCTCTCTCTCTCTCTCTCTCTCTCTCTCTCTCTCTCTCTCTCTCTCTCTCTCTCTCTCTCTCTCTCTCTTTCTCCCCCCCTCCCTCCTGGAAGTCATTTTTTTTTTTTTAATGAGAGAAACAAAGGAGGTAGCAGTGAAAGGGAAGTGAGAGAATACTGGAATGAGAGTCAGAAGGTGTGGGTTGGACCTAATCCTGGAATCACTGCTCGCTTAGGTGAGTCATTTCCCTTCTCTAAATTCTGTTTGATCACCTGAAAAGTAGGATAATAACACCTGCTCTATCTACTTCATAGAATTCTTGCAAGGATCAAATGAGACCACAGAATTAAAGCTGATAAATATCTACAAGACCATCTAATCCAACCCCTTTAATTTTTAAGGTGAGGAAACTGAGGCCCAGAGAGGTTGTGATTTGCCCAACTTCAGTCAGTCAATAAACCATTTATTAAGTGCCTACTGTGTGCCAGTCAATCAAAACATTTATTATGCTCCTACTGTGTGCCAAGCACTGTGCTCTAGGGATTCAAAGAGGAAAAAGACAGTCCCTACCCTCAAGGAGCTCACAATCTAACGAGGGAAACAAGCAAAAAATATGCACAAACGTTCCATCAAGTAACAGGAGTGAGATTCCACCCGAGGTCCTTGACTCCATATCCCATGCTCTTTGCCCAAGCTTGGGTCAAAAGCAAATGCATTGGTGGGGACTGGTGAACCTTGAAGCGCTATGTAAATGTTAGCTTTTATTGTTAGCTCATTTAATTCTGAGAGGGCATTAATACAGGAAATATTGCTTCCATTTCAATACTGAGAAAATGGAGGCTCAGATGTGAAGTCACTTGTGCAAAGGTCACACAGCTAGTAAGTGCTAGAGGTAGGATTCTAACTCCAGTATAGCATTCTTCATTAGCACTATGCAAAGTTGCCTTAGTGTTTCAGGGTTATTGAGACTATAGAGAGATTTTCAGGATTTTTGGGCAACAGCTAGAAAGAAATGAAAAGGATTTCTAAACAAGCCATGTAGAGGAAGGAAAGCTGCCATACTTCTTTCCACAGGGTGAGGGGCACCTAGGGTAATCCTATAGGAGCTACAATAGATAGCTTTGTTACATTGTCTCCATGACAGACAGTTCTCTAAGGTTCTGATATGAAACCAATGAATTAATCAACAAACATTTATAAAGTGCCTGCTAAGTGACAGGCTGGTGCTGGTGATACAAAGTCAAAAATGATATAATCCCTGTCCTCAAGAAACATATTCTGTCAGTCTGAAACTTCGCAAGCAGGTCTTAGAGCACTGGGGAATGATATTTTTTCTTCTGCAACAGCAAACTTCAGTTACACATGTGCAGGGGGAAATAAGTTTTTATGTCTAAACTGCTTTCTCTCAGCTTGTGTAACTAAAAATGCTTTGATTTAAAAATAAAACTTGGCTAATAATTAGCTCATAATATGGACCAAATGCATTTGGAATGTTTAGGGGGGGAAAAAAGCCAAACCTTAAATGACCTAGACATTTAACTTTGAAAAGTAGTCCCTAATGCACGCACATTGCCTAATGTTCTTAAGAGTTTATATTTTACCACCTCTGAAAGTAGTATGCTTTTTCCAAACAGTAAGCTTACTGGGCAAATGATGTAATGATTTGTCTTTTTTTTTTTTAAAGGAAACTTACACTACCGAATGTCAGAGCTGGGAGAAACTTAGAAGATCTAGTCCACGGATCCCAAACCTCTTTTGTGTCATGGAACCCTTTGTCAGTCTGGCAGGGCCTATGGTCCTCTTCTAAGAATCATGTTTTTTCAGTGCATAAAATAAAATATATGGGTTTTCAGGGGAAAAGAATTATATTGGACTACACTTATCAAAATAAGAGAAGATCATGAACCCCAGCTTAAGAAGCTCTGAATTAGTTCAATTCTCTCCTTCACATGGCTCATTTAGTGCTACTGTAGGACACTCAAACATGGGTTTTCCGATTCTAAATTCAGTGCTAGCTAAACAATTAAATGGAACCTCTAGTATTCAATAGGGAAAATTGGTCTCTGGATAAAATACCTGAAGAGGTCATCAAGAAGTGAGACTTGCCTCTTTTGCAAAATTAAACTGACCTAGCCAACCCACCCTCCAAAAAACACCAAACATAAGTGTATATATATGTGTGTGTATGTATTTATTGATTCTAAATACTATACATAAACGTATTGTATATTTATACACATATACTTTTTCTTGGAGGGTTTGGAAGTGTGTATGTGTGTATATGTATATGTGTGTATGCACAAACACATGCATTCTGATTTGGAAGTATATGTGTGTATACATTGAATGTACATATACATAACAGACATGCACATATACTTCTAAGCCAGCATGCATCCATATCACTCTACCTTTACTTACCCTTATTCTCATCTCCTCCGCTTTACAGTTTTCAGATTTACGGCTCTGACTATACTCCCTGTAAAACCCCAAATCTCATTGTGCAAATGTCCTCTAATGTGAGGCTTCTCTAAAAACTCAGGGGACTTGGGGTCAGGGTAAAAAATTTAAAATTGCCGTTGCTATTTTTTCTCTATCTGAAAGCTGAATTTATTCATTATTTCAGCCTTTCCCATGGTGCCCTTCTCAAAGGCTTCATCCTGCCATCCTCAATTCTTCTTCTGCTAGTCACCTCTGGCCTCTATTTATTTTGACTACAAATTGCAGGGAAGGTACATACCTGCACTGGTAGGGTATTTCCTTACCTGGGAGTTCCCTATACCAGTGAAATCATAGGACTAGTCTCCATTTCCATTCTCTTTCTTATGCTACAGTCAACTGATCACTGGCTTAGTAGCTAGGTGACCAAAAGCAAGTCATTTAACCTCCTTAAGCTTGGATTGCCCATCTATAAAGTGGGGATAATAATACCCATAACTCTTACCTTATAGGGCCCTTTGTGACAGTTAAATGAGATAATGTGTGCAAAGTACTTCGTAAATCCTAGGCACCGTATAAACACCAGTTATTATCACCCCTGACTTATACAACACAGATAATAAGTGGCAAAGCAAGGATGGACACTCAGGTCAGGGCTTTTCCTACTATATGACTTTTTTGAGAGCTCTGTGTTCATAAAGGCCAACATCAACCCAACCCTCCAAAAGCACATCTTCACTAAATGAAAAAGTCCACCTGTATTTCCTTAAAGAGGTATCATTCTTCCCCCACCCACTCAACTCAAGGATCGAAGCTAAAGGTACAATCTATCTCTGCCTGAGGCACACACACGCACACACTAAGGACAATAGCAAGAGTCATGCCTGGATAGCAAAATGTGGGCCCCATTTAAATTCTGGCCAAGATAGGCAGCTAAAAAAAAAACCAAAAACAAAAACGTACCCACTTACCTGCTCGATAGACAAAGTTGCCTTCAGTTTCTGATGATGATGGAGACACCAGCTCCTCCTCGAATTCATTGGAACTAAATGACCCCGAATGGTTTCTCTGTCTCGTTTTTTCCATCATTGCTGCATTTGTGGCCATGACATGTCGCAAAGAGTCATTAAGGTACCGGTTCAACAAGCTACTCTTGTATTTGGGGGGTGACACGTAGTCCTCATTGGTGCCGGACTCTGGTCTCACTCCAGTTTTGATCACAGAGCTCTCTGTTTTAATTACTGCATGGTGAACTGGGTTATTATAGCCTGATTCATTCACGTGGTTTCTTGGGGGATTTTCTCCATCTGAGAGAGGCAAAAAGTTCTAAGTAGTAAAATACAGGTAGTAAAATGTATGTGCTTTTACCTAACCATTCAATTATGAAATGTAATGATTAGAGATATATGAAGGTCAACTCTTTAAAAATAGTATAGAACTTACCATTGTGTTTAGGGCTTAAAGTTAAATGTTTTAGAAATAAGACCTCTAATCAACACAAAGACCAAATGGGATTCCAAAGGATTCATGATGATACATGCTACCTATATCCTGACAAAGAGATGGACTCAGGGGATAGAATGATATACATATATACATACACATATATGTGTATATGTATGTGTATATACATATACACACACACACACACACACACACACACACACACACACATATATATATATATATATATATATATATATTTGGACATGGCCAATGAGAGGATTTGGTTTGCTTGACAATGCATATTTATTAAAAAGGCTCCCCTTCCCCCAAAGAGGACAAGTGGGGGGAAGAGAAAATACATTTTAAAAATTGTAATAAATAAAATTATTTTTTAAAATAAGTTGAATCTTTTGCTAAAATTAAAGTAGAGATTGTTTGTACGTGTCTCTCCCCCCTGCCATGTTAATTCAATTTTAATGACTTTTTCAGAGGGTGTTATTCTGCCACATAACTCTTTAAACAAGGGGAAAATATAACAAATCTGTTGGTCATTTACAACATTACAACAGCAAAGTTACCTCATGCAATAAAAAAGAACCAATATGGCACCAATAGGTCTTATGGGACAGATCACTAACTTGTTAAAAACAATTAAAAATCAAGGTAACCTTCTAAATCCAGGAGCAAATAAAAAAAATTCAACAAACCTTCAGAACATGAATCATCACTGCTCACACTAAGTCTTTCTGCATTTCCTTGCACATATTTATTGTAGAGTTTTATTCGCAAAGCCCAACTCAGATCTGGTTGCCGGACAGTATTTTTAAGGCGACGTCTTGCATTAGCAAACCAGTTTGACACCTAAAAAACAAATACATTTCTCCTTTCATAAAATTTTAAAACCTTCCCCCATTAAGACCTGTAGTTCCTCACAAGGGAAAGGTGGGTATCCAATACAGTCAGCACAAAATAGTGACAATAGCTTTAAAGAATTAAGAAAGATCTGGATTCAAAGTCCATCTCTGATACGTCGTACTTACGCACAAGCAAGTCACCTTTTCTGAACCTTAGCCTCCTCATATCTAAAATAGGGTTAGTAATCCCTGCAGCCCCTTTCTCATGGGGTTGTTGTGAGGATCAAATGGTACGTAACGGCAAAGGATCAATGAAAGAGTAATTAGATTGTTGGGAATGAGTTATTGGGATGACAGAGGAAGTCTGCAGGAAGCACAGATTTGGGACAAGGATGTGATCAATTCAGTTTGGACCAGGTGGATTTTGATGGGAATGGGATGATGACAATAACTGGATGGATTGAACAGTTATAAGTGCAAGTCTTGAGCTCAGGAGAAAGGTCAAGGTTGGAAATACAGATTTGGGACTTATCGACATCTTGTTTATAATTAAGGCTATAAGTGGACGTGGTAGAGAATATTGAGGGGAAAAAAAAGAAGAGGGACAGGAAAAGAAGTCTGGGGAAAGCCTGTGTTAAGGGGGCAGGAAGAAAAGGATCCAGTGAAGGAAACACAGTGGTAGCAATTTAGAGACATAGAAGAACCATGATAATGTAGTGTCACAGAAGTTAAGAGAGGAGAGATTTGAAATGGAGGGGAGCACACACATAGTCATTAAATACTTAGTGAATTGAATGAAATAAAGCTATGAGGTGCAGCACCTGGAGTCAGGGAGACCTGAGTTCAATTCCAGCCTCAAACACTTATTGGCCCTATGACCCTGTGGATGTCATCTGATCTCTATCTGCCCCAGTTTCCTTAAGTGTAAAATGGGGATATTAATAACACCGACCTCACAGAGCTGTTGTGAGGATCAAATGGGATAATATCTGTAAAGATCTCAGTCCAATGCCTAGCACACAGTAGGCACTTAATAAATACTTGTTCCTTTCCCCTCCCCCCTAGTTAGATTCCATTAAAAAGTTAACAAAGGCTGTGGCATGAGTCACACTTATAGTAGGTATTCATCTGAAGTACAAAACACTCTTGATACAGCACCCTCAACAGGCCAAGTGTCGTCTCCCTAACTATAGCTGTAAAAGCACCTCGTCACATTTTCTTATTTCTTCATGGTGTGACCTTTTAGATTTAGGTCAAGCATTCATTTGCCGTTTATGGTGGTACGTGGTGTACAGTGCTGATCTGAACCCAAATTCTCCTAAACTGCTTTCCAGTTTTGCTAGCATTTCTTGCAGGGCTCTCAAGAGGACAGACTATCCTTTCAGTCTGAAATTGAAGCCTATCCTAAGCAAGTAGGTGATAGCCAAGAAATCAGGAAGTTTGTTTTGTTTTGTTTTCTTTAAAACAAGTATGCCTTCCATTCTTTTCTTGGAAGAAAGGTTAGAGGATTTCTACAGACTGAAAGGTTATGCTGTTTCCCCCCAGAAAACTGGTCTTCTAGCAAAGTGTTTTAAAGGGTAGCATGGTTCTTTAAAAAGGATGAAACATGGGGAATCCTCATTAGGTGTCTCTGCTGCCAAATTACGTTCCAGAATATGGTCCTAAATTACTGTCAAGGCTTTAAGTGGTAACATTTGCATTGGATGCTTCACTTTTCTAGATTTACTTCTATAAATATACAGATCAGCATAATGCTTAAAGGCTTACCATTGAGTGGGTCTGTAGAAGTCATCTCCCATTTTAAAAGTAAATGAGCTATTATGGCTGTCTCTTCTGCCAAACAGGAAGCATTACTTCTTGGAGGGGGAGGGGAAGCCCTGAATAGTTAAATGCTCAATATTCACTCTTCACATCTTTTCCCCACCCCACGTTAGAGGTTAAGTGGGTTAAGTGACCTGCCCACAGTCACACAGCTAGTTAGTGTCTGAGGATGGATTTGAACCCAGGTCCACCTGTCTCTAGGACTGGTGCTCTATTTGCTGCACCCCCTAGCTGCCCTTATTCTTCACATCTTAATCTGTCCTGAGTTCAAATCTGGCCTCAGACACTTATTAGCTGTGTGACCCTGGGCAAATCACTTAACCCTATTGGCCTCAGTTTCCTCATCTGTAAAATGAGCTGCAGAAGGAAACGGCAGACTTCTCCAGTATCACAAAGAGTCAGATACGACTAAAAAATTACTGAACAACAACTACCTTCTAATTTTTTTCCTCTTCAATCTCAAACACCACTTTAGAGGTAGCTAGTGGCACAGTGGAAAAAGTGCTGGGCCTGGACTCAGGAAGACCTAAGTTCAAATCCAGCCTCAGATACTTACTAGTTGTGTGATCCTGGCTGAGCAAGTCATTTAACCTCTGTATACCTCAGTTCCCTCAACTGTAAAATGGGGATAATAATAGCACATACCTTGTAGGGTTGTTGTGAGGATCAAATGGGATTGAAATGTGTAGAAAACACTATGTGCCTGGCACACAGTAGGTACTATATAAATGCACATTCCCTCCCTCCCCACTTCAAAGTTCGTCCACTTTAGTCATGACAGCCTGATTTTCAATGCTCCAAATCCTACAATGGCTCACAGTTACCTTCCGAGCATGGCCTGGGAGTTAGAAAAGGAATATTCTAGTGGTCACTCTTCCAGGATTATCTGGGTAGCCTTGGCCAAATGACTCCATGTCTCTGGGTCTCAATTTCTTCCTCTGGAAAATGAGACATTTGTACCAGATGACCCTTATGGTCTCCCTTCTGACGCAAATGTTCTCTGACCCATGAATGGTGTTTAAACTCCACAAGGCTCAGACGACTCAAGAATCTTTGAGCAATTAGCCCTGCCTTAGCTGTGATTCCCAACAGCTGTTCCCTCTCACAATCTCTCCAGTTCACATTCCCCCATTCTACCTCTCAAAAAGACTGAAAAAACTACTTCCTTTTGGTCAAACTAATCCCCTCCTAGCAGTCACAGCTCAATCAAATCTCTGCTCTTCTGCAATCCTGTACTGAATAGATTGAAAATCAGACAACTTAAATCTCTCCCAAAATAACAGCTATCTATGTAGGTATGTGTAATTATGGTAATATATACTCACACAGAAACATACATGTATGTATGTAGACACACATATACACACATATCTGTAAATATATACCTAAATATACATATGAATACCTACATATGCCTATATGTGTATATATATATATATATACATATATATATACATATATATATACATATATACATATATATATGTGTGTATATATATATATATATATATATATATATATATATATATATATATATATACCTACATATACATCTATAGACATGCACTTGGACAAATATACATATGTCAGATACAATCTACATATAGATGTAGTCTATAATATGTATAGACACATATGTCTATGTCTGTAGACATATGTTTTATATGTATGTTACATAGCTATATTGATCTGTATATGTGTAAATATATATATATATATATATATATATATATATATATATATATATATATATATATATATATATATATATATATATATATATATGCCTGTGAGCCTATAGCTATTTTGTTAAAGAGACAGTGTGGCATAGACTTATTTTGCCTGGTACTAGAGGAAAGAATGAAAATCAATAAATATAAATAAATTTAGGCTCAATGTAAGGGGAACTCCTCCCTTCCCTGCCCCAAACCTTCCCAATAATTAAACTATCCAAAAGCGGAATGACTACCTCCAAAGGTAGTGTGTTTCTCTTCCTTAGAGGCATTCAAATGAAAGCCAGACGACCCATCATTGGGAATGTTGAGGAGGGGGATCCTTTTTCAGGTAGAGGTTGCACTAAATGGTCCAAGGTCTGTTCCAACACCAAGCTTCTGTGTCTTTGTGATTAGAAAGAGTGATGGATTAGGAGTCAAGCAACTCAGCTTCATGTCCCGGCCCTACAATTTACCAGCCAATTAATCTCCCAAAGTCATATTTTTCTCATCTCCACAGGTGTGCTGAACAGATGACTTCTCTGCTCTGTAGTCCCTTCTGGTTCTAATATGCTGTAAATTGAGCCCTATTACAACTTCCATTACAACAAAAACGTATGTAGAAAGAAATGCAATAACTCACTCATGTCATACAATGTTCAATGCAACATAATTCCAACATACTCCAATACTCTCGATGGATCTGTGAACTCGATAGTCCCTCCAACAGTGCAGCTCTAGACCATCCATTCATGCCCATCCCATACAACTTCCAGTCATGGCTCCCATAGATTCACCAAACAGAGGTTCCCCCCAGTGAGCTCGGAGCTACTCCAAATTCTCTTCAGGTGGTGTTGACACCAGTGGAACACATAGACTTCCACTGATTGTCCTTTGCTCTTGCTTCATGACCAATTTTTAAATTTCATTCATAATTTTTTCTGATGACATGCCTTAAACACCACAACTCCAATGCAATTCCTTATTTGCAATGGATTGCAGCCTTCTTATGACCACCATATACTTCTCCATCACCTTCTCTGTGATTCTCAACTTCAAGTTTTCAGAGACTGGAGCATCCTATGGCTCTCAGCCATATAACATCACTAGATGACAGGCTTTTAGGCCTGGAGACAGGAAGACCTGATATCAATTCTGGCCTCAGAAACTTACTATGTGACCCTGGGCAAGTTACTTACCCTCTGTCTCACCAATAAAATGGGGATAATAATAGCAACTCCCTAGGGCTGTCATAAGGATCAAATGAGATAATATTTGTAAACCAATTAGCACAGTGCCTGGCACAAGGTAGGATATTAATAAATGCTTGCTTCCTTCCTTGTTTTAAAATATTTTTAAGCATTGGTCATCAAAAGATGGACCTATGTCTCAGGAGGAAACTCAGGGTCATTAAAAACACTAGACAATTTCCCAAAGGTACTCCACTTCTCCTGCTTAATTCTGAGCCCACCTT